GAAGAGATTTGCTCTTACCATGCACATACAAACATCATTTATTGTGTGCTGTTAGTAAGAAAAATCATTGCAAATGTACAGTGAGAGAGGAGATTAGTTTTACTGTAGATAAGGTAGTCAGAGCAGATTTTCCTGATAAGATAATATTTAAGGGAACAGTTTTCTAAAGTCATACTATAATATGACAGCATTTCATATGGAGAAAAGAGCAAGTATAAAAGCCCTGAGTCATAAATGGTTTGGTGTTTTTATTTTTTTTTTTTTTTTTTTTTTTTTTTTTTTTTTTTTTTTTTTTTTTTTGAGTTGGGGTCTCACTCTGTCACCCAGACTGGAGTGAAGTGGCCGCTCCCGGCCACTGCAGCCTCGCCTGCTGGGCTCCGGCGATCCTTCCGCCTCAGCCTTCCAAGTAGCCGGAATTACAGGCGCACGCTACCACGCCCAGCTGATTTTTTGATTTATTGTAGAGATGAGGTCTCGCTGCCCAGGCGGGTCTCGAACCCGCGGGCTCAGGCAATCCACTCACCTCAGCCTCCCAAAGGCGCGGGATTACAGGCTGAGCCACCGAGCCCGGCTTGGTGTTTTTAATATGGAGGATATATGGTATTTTTGGCTTAGGAAAGAATAGGCACAATAGATGATGGGTCACAGAAAGATCTTGGTAGAAAGACCTCAATTTATTTTTCTATTCAGTGAAAGTAAAGGAAAATAATAATCATTGCATAGATAAGAATGAAATTTGTCATGTGACATGAACTGAGAGTGGAGTGTTTAGAATTATTATAAAAACCTTTTTTAGTCTTTGGGCTCGGTGGCTCAGCCTGTAATCCCGCATTTTGGGAGGCTAAGGTGAGTGGATTGCCAGAGCCCACGAGTTCCAGACCCACCTGGGCAAGTTGGCGGGAACTCATCTCTACAATAAATCAAAAAATCAGTTGGGCGTGGTAGCACATGCCTATAATTCCAGCCACTCAGAAGGCTGAGGTGGAGGGATCACTGGAGCCCAGCAGGTTGAGGCTGTGGTGGCCAGGAGCAGCCACTGCACTCCAGGCTGGGCGACAGAGTGAGACTCCAACTCAAAAAAAAAAAAAGAAAAAAAAACCAAACCTTTTTTGGCAGGTCCCCAAACTTTTTTCCTCTTTCTCTCCCTTTTTTCTTTTGCCCTTCAATATTTTGGTCTTAGCCTACTTTTAATTTCTGTACAATGAGTATCTTTGCTATTCCTGTCTTGCTTCCTCTGCCCACTTTTAACCTTTCCAATCATGCAGGAATCTGTGAGAAAGGCCAGTCTCAGCAGTCAGGACAGGGAGGAGCAGGGAACAGTTACTATGGCTTCAGCAATCCTGCAGAATATGAAGGAGGAGGTAACCTGCCCCATCTGCCTTGAACTCCTGAAAGAACCCTTAAGCCTACACTGTGGTCACAGTTTCTGCCAAGACTGCATCACTGCAAACCACAAGAAGTCCATGATGAGCCAAGAAGAGTGGAGCAGCTGCCCTGTGTGCCGAATCACTTACCAGCTCGAGAACCTGCGGCCTAATCGACATATATCCAACATAGTGGAGAGGATCAAGGAGGTCAAGTTGAGCTCAGAGGAGGAGCAGAAGGTAGATCATTGTGCACGCCATGGAGAGAAACTCCTACTCTTCTGTAAGGAAGATGGGAAGGTCATTTGCTGGCTTTGTGAGAGGTCTCAGGAGCACCGCGGTCACCACACGTTCCTCATTGAGGATGTTGCTCAGGAGTACCAGGTAGGAATCCAGGATGGAGAGAAGACAGGGGCAAAAATGGTATGTGATGGAAAGTCTCCACTTTGCTTTTTAGTTTGATTCCCTTGTTGTCATATATCTGAGGCCAGTGAGGAGAATCACTGGGGTGGGTTGAGATATAAGTTCTTTTTTTCCTTCAGAATTAGCTTTTTCTTCTAGGACAAAAAAAAAAAATCGGTCTAGGTGAAAGTATGGTAACTTCTGTTATTTGAAACTTGAACATATTTACCACCTCTGGTTTCTTTCAAGTCATAGATTCTAATCATGATTCTCACAGTTTCTGTACATCTTGATCTCTTCTGAGAGCAATCTTTTTCCATGCATCCTCTATCCAGGTGCTGAGAAAGCTTAACTCATAACGTAATTTCTTTCTCCCAGGAGAAGCTCCAGGTAGCTCTGAAGAAGCTAATGAATAAGCAGGAGGAAGCTAAGAAGTTGAAAGCTGACATCAGAGAAGAGGGAAATTTCTGGAAGGCAAGAGGAGATACTTCCTGAGGGAGTTAGCCAGAAATATGGGCAGGACTTTGGGGAGGAACTACCTTCCTCTTTATTTCCTGACAGTTGATGAATTCACAAGTCATTTGTTTACTTCTCTTCTTTATCCTTTCCCTGATGAGGGATGGGGGCTGAAGAATGTGTGTGTCACAGATGAACGTAGCTATCTGAAGGGAGCTATTTACATGGTGAGGATGGCTAGTGAATCCTGTGTTCCATTCTCGTGATGCTTTTTGAGTCTGTGACTCTACCAGAGGAAGACATTCAGCAATGGCTAATTGTTTTGTACTCAGTGTTCAACTTTTGGCAGAGGGGTTTAGGGTGGGGTAAGAAGTAATGCAGACAAACATGAGTGTCCTAGACAGCTGTGTGAAAGCTAAGCCATTCCCAGGTATCTCATTTTGGCTCAGCATTGGCCTCAATATGTCCATTTAAGATCATTGTTTTTAGAATATCATGAAGGGAAATGTATAGAAAAGAAAAAAAATCAGCTTCTCTAAGAATGGCTCCTCTGCTTCTGTTACCCTTCTTTGTGAAAACTCCCCAAAGAAAACAGTTCTTTTTCTGGATTGCAACCTCTGCCTGGTAGAGTAAGAGCCTCTCTTTTCTTTCTCATCCCTGAAGAATCAAATACTCAGTAACAGAGTAAACATCCAATCAGAGTTTGAGCAACTGAGAAATATTCTGAACTCTGAGGAGGACAACGAGCTGCAAAAGCTGGAGAAAGAGGAGGAAGATATTCTGAATAGCCTGGCAGAGTCTGAAAATAAATTGGATCAACAGAGCCAATTGTTGAGAGAGCTCATCTCAGACCTGGAGTATCGGTTGCAGGGGTCAGCGATGGAGCTGCTGCAGGTAAGCCTTGGAAATAAACTTCAGTATCTGAGATTCAGGTAATTGTGAAGACTGTTTTCTTCTCTGTGCTGCTGTGTTCTTTCTAGTGCTGACAGTAAAGTTCTTAGGACCCTGCAGTACCCCTTTCTGAATCAGGTTCAGAGGTTACAGGAATAATTGAATGTACAAGTAGCAAAGAAAAATCCCAGTTTAATTAATTTATCAAGAGGAGTACAACAATTTGAACTTGGAGAGAAGATCATTTATAGCCAGTGATACTTTATAGGCCCATGTTCTCTGTTATCTAGTGTTAAGGATTAATCAGACATCTTTTTGTTGCTCAGTGTAGTCACAGGCAAATAAATGCACTTCAGAATGCAAGAGCTATTTTTATTTTTTTCCCCTCAAGATGAGTTGAGACTTTTCTTTCTTTTTTTATTTCCTAAAAAAATTTTGTAAAGGACTGATATTATTTCTTTTCAAAATATTCAATAGAATTCACTGATAAAGCCATGTTTTTCTGTTTTCTTGTTTTTTGGAAAGGTGTAAAATTTTAAGTTTTTTTTTTTACATGTATTAGGTTTATTTAGGTTTTTTACACTTCTTGTATCTGTTCTTGGTAATATATGTCTCTGTAGGAATTTGTTCATTTCTTCTAAATTGTCAACTTTATAGGCCTACAGTTAGTCATAAGAATCTTTTATTTCTTTATTTTTAACTGTATTTATTTAAATTGTCAGATAAAAATTGTAAATATTGTGTACATCATGTGGTTTTGAAACATATATAAATTGTGGCATGGCTAAATCAAGCTAATTTATGCATTACCTCACATACTTGTTTTTTGTGTGTGGTAAGTTTATTTAAAATCTACTCCCTTTTTTATTTTCAAAAATATAATATATTGTTAACTATACTCACTACATTGTACAATAGATCTCTTGAAGATATTCCTCCCATCTATCTGAAATTGATATCTTTTGACCAATAGCTACCCCAGCTCCCCTCTTTCCCAGCCCCTAGTGACCCCTCTTCTACTCTCTACTTTTATGAGATTATCTGCTTTTACGTGCACATATCTAAGTGATATCATACACTATTTATCTTTTTGTCCCTAGCTTATTTCAGTTAACATCAAGTCCACTAGGTTTATCCCTGTTTTTTGGGCAAATAATAGGATTTCTTTCTTTTTAAAAACAGAATAGTATTCGTGTGTGTGTGTGTGTGTGTGTGTGTGTGTGTGTGTGTGTGTGTGTTCACACATTTTCTTTAGCCATTCAGTCGTTGATGGACACTTTGATTCCATTTCCTGGCTATTGTGAATAATGTTGCAATGAACATAGACTTGCAGATATTTCTTAACATTAATTTCATATCCTTTGCATTTCTACTCAGTAATGGGTTTGCTGGATCATATGATAGTTCTGTTGTTAAGTTTTTGAGGAACCTCCATATTGTACTAATATCTGTACTAATTTACATTCCCACCAACAATGTTCAAAGGATTCCCCTTTCTCCATTTTCTCTCCAACACTTATCTTTTTCTTTTTTATAATCGTGGTTTTAACAGGTACAAAGTAATATCTCATTGCAGTTTTAATATAAATTTCTCTGATAACAGGAATTTTGATCATTTTCATATACCTGTTGGCCATTTGTGTGTTTTCTTTTGAGAAAAACTTATTGAGATCCACTGCTCATTTTTATTAATTAAGATATTTATTTTTCTGCTGTTGAGTTTTTTATATATTTTGGTTATTAATTCATATCAGATATATGGTTTGCAAATATTTTCCTCCAAACCATAGGCTGCCTTTTCATTTTGTTGATTGTTACCTTTGCTGTGCAGAAGTTTTTTAGTATGATGTAATCCTTTTGTCTGTTTTTGCTTTGTTACCTGTGCTTTTGGGTTTGTAGCTAAACAATAATTGTCCTGAGCAATGTTTATAACTTTCCCCCTTATGCTTTCCTTTTGTAGTTTTCTTGTTCTAATTTTTTTTTTTTTTTTTTTTGAGTTGGAGTCTCACTCTGTCGCCCAGACTGGAGTGTATAAATCTTTTATTTAAGTATTTAATTAACTTTGAGTTGATTTTTTTATATGGTATGAGATAAGGATCTAATTTTATTCTTCATGTGGATGTCAAGTTGTTCTAACACAATTTTTTTTTTTGAGTTGGAGTCTCACTCTGTCACCCAGACTGGAGTGAGTGACCGCTCACGGCCACCGCAGCCTCGACCTGCTGGGCTCCGGCTATCCTTCCGCTTCAGCCTTCCAAGTAGCCGGAACTACAGGCATGCGCTACCACGTCCAGCTAACTTTTTGATTTATTGTAGAGATGAGGTCTCGCCATGTTTCCCAGGTGAGTCTCGAACCCGCGGGCTCAGGCAATCCACTCACCTCAGCCTCCCAAGGCGCGGGATTACAGGCTGAGCCACCGAGCCCAGCTATTTTTTTTTTAATTTGGGGTTATTTGTAAATATGTTGCTTAGTTTCAAAGTATTTAGGAATTTTTTAAATGTTTCTTCTGCTGTGGATTTTAACTTTAATTCCTTCGTAATCAAAGAACATGTTTTAATATTAAAACATTTTAAAATGTATTGAAACTTGTTTTATGGCCTAGAATATGATAAGTCCAGAAAAACATTCTATATGCATTTGAAAAGAATGTGCATTCTGCATTCATTGGGTAAAATGGTTTAAAAATGTAAGGTCAAGTTGTTTGATAGTGTTGTCCATGTCTTCAATATTCGTTATGGTTTTTGTACTAGCTGTCCTATTCATTTTGAGAGTAAATTGTTGAAATTTTCTTTTTTTTTTTTTTCAAGTGGTATCATTTCTCTATCATTTAAAAAATTTTTATTTTAAAGATGTAGGGTACAATTCAGGATTAAGTATACAAATGTTCATTATGCAGGTACCCTTGTTGATGAGGTGTGCCCCCCCACCCCCAGCAGAATCCCACTACTGCCAATTTGAAATTTTCAACTATTGTTATTGTTGTCTGTTTCTCTTTTTTAAATTCTTTAAAATTTTGTTTGGGGTGTTTTGAAGTTCTGTTATTAAGTGCAGATGCATTTATATTGTCATATCTTCTTGATGTATTGAAATTTTTTCATTATAAAATAGCCCTCTCATTATCTCATAGTAATTCCTGCCTTAAAATATATTTTGTCTAATATTAATATAGCCACTTGGGTTATCTTATGGTTAAGACTTGCTATATATATGTTTACTTTGGGTTTATTTGTGTCTTTGAATCTAATATATGTTTCTTATAAGTAGTGATAATTGAATCTTCCTTTTTTATCTAGTTTGCCTAACAATCTCTGCCTTTTGATTGGGTTATTAAGACTATAACATTTATTGCTATTATTTATATGGTTGTATTTGAAATATCATTTTGCTAGTTGTTGTCTATATTTCTCCTGTCTTTGTTGTTATTGTCATTCATTTCTTTCTTTTTCACTGACTTATTTTGCATTAAATAAATATCTTCCAGTGTAAGTTTTTAGTTTTTCTTTTTTTGAGTTCTACTATTTTAGCTATTTTCCCAGGGGTTGCTCCAGTGATTACAATATTCATTGTGTTCTATTACAGTCTACTTCAGATTCATACCAACTTAATTTCAGTATAACACAGAAACTTGCCTTCAATATTGCTTGATTTTCTTCATCTTTTGTAATCTTATTGTCATATGTATTATAGGCATATAGGTATATAGGTTATAAACTAGCAGTATAGTATTTGGTTATTGTGTTAATAAGCATATGCATTTTAAAGTTATTAAGACAGTGAAATATAAAATAAGCTATAGAGTATTATTAACTTTTCAATTTATAGCATTTTCTTATTCAGATTTATTTATGAATTTGAGTCTATCATTGGAAGAGTTTTTGTTTCAGCTAAAGAACTTTTGCCATCTGCAGCAATAAACTGTCTCAATCGTCATCTAAGAATATATATTTTTCTTCAGTTTTGAAGACGGTTTTTGCCTTATGAAATTCTGAGATGACAATTTTCTTTTAATGCTTTCAATATGTCAATTTAGTTCTTTCTAGCCTCTATTATTTTAGATGAGAATTCAGCTGTTAATCATATTGAAAACATTCCTTTTATAATAGCTGATTTTTTTTCATTTCATTTCAATTTGTTTTCTTTGATGGAAGCCTGCAGAAGTTTGTCTATGATGTGTTTATGTGTGGACCTCATTGAATTTATTAAACTTTTTGTTTATTGAGCACAAATGATTACATTTTTTATAGATTTAGAAAAAAATTTTTCCTAATTATTTTTTTTCAAACTTTCTCTCTTCTTTCCTTCTGGAAGACCATGTTTGTTGCTATATTTGATGTCATCCCACATATCTCTGAGGCTCTTTTTATGTTTTCTCTCTGTACTTTAGATTAGAAAATTTCTATCAATGCAGCTTCAGGTTCAATGATCCTTTATCTGCTATCTCTAATAAATATTTCATTTTTGTTATTTTACCTTAAAAATGTTAAAACTTTTATTTCTTAATTATTTATGTCTCCTTCCTGATAATATCTATGTTTTGAATCTTTGGGGTTTTGTTGTTCTTATTGTTGTTTGTGAGTTGTAGCCTCACTCTGTCACCCAGACTAGAATGCTGTAACAAGCTCACAGCTACAGCTGCTTTGAACTGCGGGGCTCAGGTGATCCTTCGGCCTCAGCCTTCTAAGTTGCTGGAACCACAGGTGTGCACCACCATACCTGGCTTAGTTTTTTGATTTATTGTAAAGATGAAATCTTTCCAAATTTCTCAGACTGGTCTCAAATACCTGAATTCAAGCAATCCTCTTGAGTTGGCCTCCCGATGTGTTGGAATTATAGGCATGAGCCACTGTGCCTGGCCAAATCATTGTTTTTATGCTTTAACTTCTCAAGCATAGTTATCTTTAGATTTTTAACCTATTTACAGTAGTTGCTTTGAAGTCTTTATTTTCCAAATCCAATGTGTGGGGTCACTCAGATATATTTTCTATGTATTGTTTTATTTTTTACACGAGCATGGGTTATACTTACTTGTTTCTTTGTATGTCTCATACATTTTTTTGATGCTTGATTTTTTTGTCTAGGTTCTCATCACCCTCTCCACCCTAGTAATAGGTGTGTTTTTATTTCTTAATTTAATAACTTCCTTTGGCTGCTGCTGTCTCCACTGAGTTTAAATAAAAATAAAATATAATTATCAGGTGTGGTATCCTAGCTTTCTCCTGTGTGTCTTTGTATCTTTGGTTGGCCTTTAAACTCAAATAGAAGCTATGCTCAATCCCCTCAAGGCAGTAAGACTTCTGTCCTCTCCTGGTGGATCTATACTTAAGTAAGTATGTTCAAAGTTCAGTCCATTTTAAAATTTGCCGTGATTTACTCGCTGATGGGTTGTTTTATTTCTCCTTTCCATATGTGTGTGTCTTTAACATAGCTAGGATTATAACATCATTTAATCCTAGTTAAATCAGTTCATGCAATTCTTGTGTTTCCAGTGACAACACAGGGCTGCTTTTAAGTTGGGCGAATTGATTCACTGCAGACAGATACTATGCAAGCCAGATCATTTTTGTTAACACTTTGAAGTTCTCCTTTCTGCTGAGGTTTATATCAGCATATTCACATTTTTTTTTCATTTACTCAGAATAAAATCAATTTAGAAGAATATATAGAATTTGGAAAAGGACGTAGACCACATCTTGATGTTAAGGTTTGGGCTTCAAAATTCAACTATGACCAAGGTTGTAATCACCCATTTCAAAATCCTTTTTACCACTTCATCTAGTTTTATTTGGTCTAAAAAGTCCTAATACAAGAAGCAAAATCATTTGTTTGTATGTATACCCAGCAATTGGCCTAGTTCTTGGAGAAAACTTAGACAAAGAAAGCAAATCAGGGGTAAAGTAGACATTGGTACATATCTGTTCAAACAGAGTAAATATTATCTGTAGTGATAAAGAATAGATAACTTAAAACCGTTAAGGATGTAGACTAAACTGGCCTGATAGTAACTGGAGTTCAGGTTAAATAGTGTAGTTTTTAGGACAGTGACTAAGTAGATACTGGTAACATTACAAGCAATGTAGTATGAAAGAGAAGACTGGTTGGTGTTACATATTAGACATCCTCAGCTTCCGGTCCTTGAGGCTCCTGCACCACTGAATATATTAAACTGCCTGTAAGTGACAAATTTGAGTAAGAACAGAGAGTTGAAAATCATTGCACATATGTGTGTTGAACTTAAAGAAGTAAACAAGGACAGTTGTAGATAATGTATAGAATGAAAAGAGAGAAGCTTGAGAATCACCTATACTTGTTTGCTTGTACCCTCAGCAAAACCTGTGTAAACGTTTTGAGGATGATTATTTGTCTTTGATTCTCCAAAGACTAGCATAATTCATGGCAAATACATTTACATATATTTTGAATAAATCAAATAACCATAAATATTAAATCATCTCATGGACAGATTTAAAGGAAAAATAAAATTGCAAGTCTCTTGTTTTCCTTGTAAATATGACCCATCTGCAGGAATCAGAAGTCTGATGCACAAGGCTGAAAGCTTTTTCTACTTTTTCTACTGAGTCTTTTTGGGATGATTTCCCTGAGTCTTACCTGTATTTTTTAATCTTTCACACTGAGACCATTTCTATTCTCAACACATCAAGGGCTGAAGAAAATGTGATAAACTTTTGCAAATGAGGAGAGACTACTATTTCTTAACTTATGTTTTCTCTCTCCTCCCTAGGATGTGAATGGCATCATAAAAAGGTAAGTGAGGAAGACTAGAGATGGTTCTTTTATGCTATGAGAGGGGATTTGTAGCCACTAGAATTGTCTGATTGTCAATTAATATAAAACATCTTCCAGGACATAAAAATTTAGATATAGTGTTATCTTAAATTTCTGGTCTCAAATCAGGGCTTTAATATTCTATAACTATTGAGAATAGACCAGATTCTATTGTAAGAAATTTGGGTGGTGGGGAGTCACAGAGTTTGGATCAGTAGTGGTATTAGAGATAAGGTGTTATATTATCAGACTTCTATGGTATCAGCATTTTATTTCCAACATCTAGCTCTGGTTCTGTATTTAATAAATACTTGATTTATTTTTGGAGAGATATATCTTCTTTTTCTGCCAAGTACCATTGGAACGATTCCTATATATTTGTATTTTTCTCCTGGGAATAGAAGAGAGTAGCTCCATCTTTGTGGTTCTGTTTAAGTTTCCAAAATCAGACTTGCATTTCTAGGAATAATATTTTGATCCTGGTGCAAATAATTGCTCTATCTTGGTCACATACTTTGGAAGAGTATGGAAAGGTGGCATCCTTGTGACCAAAATTGCACACCTACCTGGAAGTATCAAGCTCTTTCCAAATACTTGAAGTTCAGACTAGTATTAATAATTTGGTGCTCATAATATCTCCTTTGCCAAGTGTTCATAATTTTTCCCAGAAAACCTAAAACCTCAGATAACACTTGACCTTGCTACTAGGAACAGGCTTTGAAGATCCTGAGTCTCTCCAGATAGGATTCCCATATATGATACACCCAGGAGTCAGGTTCTGCAAACTCACTTTCTGATATAACAATGAGGTGTCCACACATTTTTTTAAATCACCAAAGTTTTGTGATCCATTATTTTATCATGCTGTATTTGTTTAAGGAGGGGGATGTTAATTATTTTATTTTAGAAGGAAGAAACTATGCTTCTGGGAGCTTAAGACCTTCTTAGAGTCACATGGAAAGTAAGTAGGGAGGTGGATATGAACACATGTTGTCTGGCTTCAGGATCAGGAGTCTACCTTTCTGTTTTGGGGAATCCCAGAGAAGAAAGTTCAAATGCATCAGTTGAGTGAAGTGATAAAAAGTCAGTGATGGTTAAGGGACACAAAGTCTTCAATTTGGGGACATCAATTTTTTTCATTCTTAGGAGTAAGAACTTAACCTTGAAGAAGCCACAAACTTTCCCTAAGGAAAAAAGGAAAGTGTTTCGAGCTCCTGATCTGAAAGGAATACTGCAAGTGTTGGAAGGTGAGGAGCACTAAATGAAGTGTGTGACTGTGGAATTCTAGTGGTGGCAGGGCTAACTGGGAAAGAAGGTGCTGTTTCTAGGTGTGGATAGAGGAGATAAGGGAGGATGAATATTGTATGTTGATGATGAGGTCCTATTTAATGGAAAATGTTCAGGTGGCTATTTCATTCTGTCACTTAGATGTTAACTCTCCTACCAAAGTTCCTTCTTCTTCTAATCCTTCTAATCTGAAGAGGGAATGGACTTCAGTGCTGACTCCTTTGCCTGTATTCAGTATATTATTTATTTTTATCATTCCAGAGCTGACAGATGTTCAACGCTACTGGGGTAAGGAGAAATCACAGTATATAAACCCCCCAAATCATAGTATATAAGCCCCCCTATTGTCATTATCTTTCAGAATTTTGTCTTCTCTAGTCTCATGTTTTAAAATCCATTATCTCCTTCCAACACACACATACCCACCCCTCCCTATAATCTCTAAACAAGCCTCCTCCCAGTTAACTCTCAAGTTCTTTTCAAGAGTTATCTCATAATATTACAGATAAAGCTATATCATATTTCTCACTTTGCCCTTTAATTTTGTTTACAGTTAATGTGAAACTGACTCCAAGCAACAATCCAAATTTTGTCATTTCTGAAGATAAGAGACAAGTGAGATATGTGTGCAATCAAATGTCAAGAGATCATCAGTATGAGAATAATTGTTATGGCATCCTGGGATCCCCAGGTATCATATCAGGGAAACATTATTGGGAGGTAGATGTGTCCAAGAAAGAGAATTGGATTCTGGGAGTATCTGTTGGACAAGACCTCCAACCCAATACAACTGGTGTTAAACAAGTTTCCCATAAGCACGCCGCATTTAATTTTGGACCAAGCTTCCGAACCAATATGCAGTGTGGTTTTGCACAAGACCTCAGTCACTCTTTGTCTAGTGTTTCCCCCCACCAAGTCATCAAACCTGTTGTTAGTAAAGGTGTCATTTATCAACCTCAATATGGCTACTGGGTTATAGGATTAAAAAGTAAATGTGAATATCATGCTTTTCAGGATTCTTCCTCTTTTAATCCTTTGATCGTGACTCTCTCCCCAGCTGTTCCTCTTAATCGTGTTGGAGTTTTCCTAGACTATGAGGCTGGCACTGTCTCATTTTTCAATGTTACAAACCATGGGTTTCTCATCTACAAGTTCTTTACATGTCAGTTTTCTAAATCCGTTTTTCCATATTTCAGTCCTATGAAAGATCATATTCCCATGACTCTGTGCTTGCCAAACCCTTGAACTTTCTTACATACTCAGCCACTTATGTGCAACACTTCTTGCCTGAGAGTACATTTTATATACCTGAACTCATCTGCATCATTTTAATCATCTTTTCCTCAATGTCACCTTTCTTTCTATTTGAACATCCTTTACTCATCAATAAGGTGTGCATATTGTTTTGGTCCATATTCTTCCTAATATTTTATTTACATTTCACAGCAAATATTTTTTATTGTTTTCAGTTCTCCCAAGGAATAATGACTGATCCCTCATAAAATGAGATCAGTATTGAGGTAATATCTCTGTCAAATCTTTATAACCCAATTCTCTGAAACACTGACTAACAAGAATGAAAACTTTTTAACAACCTTTCTATCATTGTGTAGAAGTCACTCACTAAAGAATGAGTCCTTAGAGTTATGTCAGTTTACCCATGATGTCCCTTATTCATCAGAGTTACGGAGAAAATGTCATAAATGTTATACACCAAAAGCAGAGGTTTTGTATCTAGAGTATCTGAGATCAAATCCTGTCTCTTCAGCTGTATAATTTTGAATAGCATACTTAAAAGGCTATGCTTATTTTCTTAAAATAATTTTGCTATTAAAAACTTCGCATAAAATAGGTTCTGATGTTCTGTTGCATAGTAGGGTGATTAGAATTAGCAATAACATATTGTATATTTCCAAATAACTAGAAGAGACAATTTTGAGTGTTCTCATTACAAATAAATAACTAATGTTTGAGGTGATGAGCATGCTAATTATCCTGATTTGATCATTACACAATGTATACTTGTATTGAGATATCACACTCTTCCCCGTAAAATATACAACTATTGTGTGTCCATTAAAGACAAAATTAAACTTAAAGAACTTCACCTAATATGTTAGATCATTATGAAAAAATAAATTCATGAAGTATAAAGCATCTAAGTGTCTCAAGTTAATAAGTATTTGCTCTACTAATTATTGAAAAGTATAAACTGTTAGTGTCATGGAATAGGTTGTATCTTCAATAGACCTAGGGTTGATTTACTGAATTCTTATTTTTTAGGTCTTGAACAACACTGTTAAGATTATGGCAGTTCTGCCTTTGATATATATACACATACTTAGAATATTATTATAATTCTAGCGTTGCTACATATAAGCTAATTTTTAAAAATTTTTTATTTTAAAGATGTGGGGTGCAATTCAGGGATGGGTATACAAATGTTCATCATGCAGGTACCCTTGTTGATGAAGTGTGCCTCCCACCCCCACCCCTGGAAGTTTCCCACTACTGCCAATCCCTTTCTTATAGTATTACAATAATAGTTTACGGTTCATTTATGAGTGGGAACATGTGGTACTCAGTTCTTTGTTTCTGTGATAGATCACTCAGTATTATAGACTCTAAGTCCATCCAAATTGCTGCAAAGTTCATAACTTTGTCCTTCTTTATGGCTGCATAATATTCCATCATGTATATGTACCACATTTTTTTTTTAATCCAGTCTTCTTTTGATGAACAGCATGGTTGGTTCCAAGTTTTTGCTATTGCAAATAATGCTGCAGTAAATGTGCATATGCAGGTATCTTTTTCATGGAATGATTTGTGTTCCTCTAGGTATATTCTCAGAAGGGGGATCCCAGAGTCATATGGAAGGTCAATTTTTAGATCTTTTAGGAATTGGGAAACTGTTTTCCACAGAGGTTTTACTAGTTTACACTTCCACCAACAGTGTAGAAGTGTTCCCTTTTCCCCACCTCCTCTCCAGCATCTGTTGTTTTTTGAGTTATTGATGATGGCAATCCTGGAGTTAAGTGATATCTCAGTGTGGTTTTAATTTGCATTTCTTTGATGACTAGGGAAACTGAGCATTTTTCCATGTATCTGTTGGCTGCTTATATGTCTTCTTTTGAAAGTGTTTATTCTTATCCTTTGCCCACTTTGTAGTGGGACTGTTTGTTTTTTCTCTTTTCCACACATTGAGTTCCTTGTAGATCCTAGATGTTAGGTCTTTGTCAGATATATAGTTGGAAAATGTGTTTTCCCAGTATCCCTGCTCTCTTCATGGTTTCTTTGGCTTTATAGAAACTTTTCAGTTTGATGAGGTCCAACTTGTCTATCTTATCTCTTATGGCATGGACACTTGGGGTTTTGATTAGGAAATGGTTGCCAGTTCCAAGTTCCGTAAGGGTGTCTCCTGCATTTTCTAAGACTCTTACAGTTTGAGGTTTTACGTTTAGGTGTTTGATCCATTTAGAGTTGATTTTTGTGTATGGTGATAGGTAAAGGGTCTTGTTTTAATCTTCTGCATGTGGCTAGCCAGTTTTCTCAGCACCACTTACTGAATAGGTTCTCCTCTCCCCAGTGGTTGTTGGTGGAAGCTTTGTTGAAAATGAGTCACTTGAGAAATTAAGGTTTTGCTTCTAGAATCTATTCTGATCCATTGTTCTATATGCCTGTTCTTGTACCAATACCAGTGTGTATTGACTATTGTAGATTTATAATAAAGTTTAATATCTGGGTGTGTGATGCCTCCTGCTTTGTTTTCTTTCTTTCTTTTTTTTTTTTCCTGAGGATTGTTTTGGTTACTCATGGTCATTTATGTTTCCATATGAATTTCTGTATTGTCATTTGCTGGTCTGAGAAGAATGCTGCTGGTAATTTAATGGGTATTGCATTAAATCTATAGATTGCCTGGGATAGGATAGACATCTTAACAATGTTGATTCTTCCAATTCATGAGCATGGAATATTTTTCCATTTGTTTATGTTATCTTTGATTTCTTTGAGCTGCATTTTGTACTTTTTGTTGTAAAGGCCTTTCACTTCTCTGGTTAGGAAGATGTCAAGGTATTTAATTTTTTTGTGTCTATTGTGAATGGGATTATGCTCTTTATTTGGGTTTCTGTTTGTTTATTGTTGGTGTATAGGAATGCAACTGTCTTTTGCACATTTATTTTATACCATGAGACTTTTCCAAAGTCCTTTATCAATGCACGGAGGTTTTGGACAGATTTTCTTGGGTTTTCAAGGTATACAATCATGTCATCTGCAAAGAGGAACAACTTAAGTTTCTCTTTTTCTGTTTGAATACCCCTGATTTCCTTCTCTTGTCTGATTGCTCTAGCTAGGATTTCCAATACTACATTGAACATGAGGGGTAAGAGTGGGCATCCTTGTCTTGTTCTAGTTTTTAGGGCAAATAGTTCCAATTTCTGTCTGTTTAGCAGTATGTTGCTTGTGAGTTTCTCATAGATGACTCTTACTGTTTTGAGGTATGTTCATCTATGTCTAGATGTTTGAGGATTTTTATCAAGAAGGGGTGCTGGATTTTATCAAACTTTCTGCATCTAATGATATAATTATGTGGTTTTTGCTTTTACATCTGTTGTTGTATTTAATTACGTTTATGGTCTTGTGGATGTTGAATCAGCCCTGCATCCCGGGGATGAAACCTACTTGGTCATGGTGGATGATTTTGAGATGTGTTGTTGGATATGGTTTGATAGAATCTTGTTGAGAATTTTATCATCTGTGTTCATCAATGATATTGGCCTATAGTTCTCTTTCTTTGTTGGATCTTTACCCAGTTTGGGTATCAATGTGATATTAGCTTCATACAGTGATTTGGGGAGAGTTCCATCTTTCTCAACTACCTGGCATACTTTCAGTAGGATTGGTATCAAATGCTCCTTGTATATTTTGTAGAGTTCTGCTGGAAAGCTATCTGGTTCCGGGCTTTTTTTTTTTTTTTTTTTTTTTGGTAGGTAGTTTTCTTATGACATAGTCAATTTCCTGGGTTGTTATTGGTCTATCCAGGGTTTCAATTTCTTTTGGGGAGGTTGTGTGATATCAGAAAGTCCTCCATTTCATTTAGGTTTTCAAGTTTGTTTCCATACAAGTGTACATGGTAATCTCTGATAATCTTTTGTTTTTCTTTGGGGTCAGTTGTGACTTGATCTTTTGCATTTCCGATTGTGATTATTTGGGCTTTTTCTTTCTTGGTCAGTCTAGCTAGGGGTCCATCAATCTTATTTATCCTTTCAAAGAACCAGCTTTTTGTTTTGTCGATTTTTTTTTTTTTGTATTACATTTTTGTCTTTCTTGTTCTCAA